AAGGTCACAGGTCACTGTCCCTGGACCAGAGGTGCCAGCACCAGGGTTTGCATGTTCTGGAAACCTGCTGGACCCTCCCCTGAGCCCCGTGCCAGCGTGGGGTCCTCTGTTGTGATGCACCTGCACCCCTTGGCCCCCCACTTTTTGTGTCCCTGTGTCCCCACTCTGACTGTGTCCCTGCGTGTTCTGGCAACTCATGGTCATTGCTCCTGTGCCTCGTCTCTTTTCAGAGGGCCACCACGTGCAGCAGGACACAGCCCAGCTACACAGTCCATCGCCACCTCCTGCAGCAGCTGGTGTCCCACGAGATCCTGCAGCACCAGGTACCATGGGGGAGAGGCAGCTCTCCCGCAGCAGGGAGGGGACAAGGGCTTCCTTCGGAGCCCACCATGCCCAGCACATCGCTGCAGCGTGTTGGGGAGGAGGGTTGTGGTGATGCCTGCTTGTTCCTGGCATCCTTATGGGGCACCCATTCCTCCCGTGGACCCTCAAACACAACCCACCCTGCTGCCTGCCCCCATCCTTGCTCAGCCCAGCTTGCTCCAGGACACGTCACCCCCCTTTTTGCATCCTTGCAGGCTGGCAGCATCGCCTGGGACGGAGAGCTGAGCCGGCACGCCAGGACCGTGCTGTACCTGCACGCCACACAGAAGGACCTCTCCGACTTCCATCAGGTCATGGCGTGAGTACCCCACACCCACGGAGCCACCACGCTGCATCTGAGGGGGGTCAAGAGCCCCAACACCTTCTGTGGGGCTGTCTGACCACAGCCGGGCTCTCCCGTGGGCTCAGCGTGGCGGGGATTGACCCTCTGCCCCGGGCATCACCCAGAGACCCGGGGCCTGCCCCTCCAGCCCCAGCCATGGTCATGGAGGGGGGAGCCCCTAGATGCCCCCCAGCCCCAAGGGCTCAGCCCAGCCTCTCCCTCCCCCCAGGCAGTGGCTGGCGTACAGCAAGCTCTACCAGAGCCTGGAGTTCAACAGCAACTGCCTGCTGCACCAGATCACCAGCATCGAGTACCAGTGGGTGCAGGAGCGCCTGAGGCCGGAGCAGGTGAGGGGCAGAGATGGGGAAACATGCCCCGTGCACCCACCCTGAGCCTCCTGGGGCTGTTTCCCTCCCTGGAGCAGGAGGGGAAGGTGTTCTGGGGTGCCAGGGTGGCTGGAGAGCATTTCAGAGGAGAACCAGCCATGGGGACCAGGACAGCCCACAGGTCAGGGAGCTCCTTTTCCCCGGGGGTTTGTTCTCCCTCTTACTCTCTGCACCATCATCCCCCTCCTCCACTGCTGCTATGAAGTCAATCACAAGCTCCTGCAAAACTCAGTGACCCAATTCCTGCTCTTCCCTGCCCGTTTTCCCAGGGCATCCCAGCACCCTGCTGAGACTCTGGGTTTTTCATGCGTAGCAATGAGGTTTAATCGCAAAGCTCAGTTCATCTCCTCCGGGTAGTTATTTGGGGCATCAGGGGGTTTTCCCACCCCTGGAGCAGGCTGGAGAGGAGCAGGAGCCACGGGCTTCCTCCACCATGGTGTCACGGTCTCGCTGGTATCTTTGGCTGCTGCTGAGGACAACAGCATGTGTTTCTTTCCTTCTCCCCAGAAAGCAGAGCTGGCAGAGTCCTTCCAGTCCATGCTGACTTACGGGGTCTCCCTCGTCCGGAGGTACCGCATCATCTTCCCCCTCTCTGTCCCGAGGTCCCCAGAGAGGCTCCAGTCCCTGCTCCGGTGAGTCAAGCGCCGGTGCCAGCTGCCCATGGGGTCGTGTGGCTCAGCCACCACGATGGACGAGCCTGTAGCTTGAGCAGAAACCTGCGTGAGCCCTTTCTGCCCAACTCCAGGCTGCTGTGACACTTGTCCTGTTCTGTCTCTTGTCCTGGACCCCCTGTGGGGGATGTTGGTGGGAGGGGAGGGTCTGTTTGGGCAGGGTCTCTGGGGGTTGTTTCTGATGGGCTGGTGTGGGTTTCACTCGAGGTTCTCGATTTGCAGGGTCCTGGTCCAGATGTGCAAGATGAAAGCTTTCCGCGAGCTGTGCACGCTCAGCCCCGACCTCCAACAGATGGTCTCCACGGCGCTGAAGGTAGTGGGACCAGGGGTCTCACCACCCCCTCCCCAGCCCTGGGGAGGTGGGACCCTGCAGCTCTCCCTTCCCATCCATCCCCTGCCCAGTGCCCACACCACAGCAAAGCCACAGGACCACCATGGTGGGGGCAAATACCTGCCCCTCTGCAACCTGGTGGTCCCAGGCTGTGGTTCCTACCACGTGGAGCTGGGTCCTGAGCACACCCAGGGGACAGGGAGAGTGAAGGGGGTGACAGCTGGCTGTGCTCCTCCTTCTTCCCTGCCGTCACACCAGCACTGCTCTCTCGCAGTCAGGCACAACCGAGTGGTTCCACATGAAGAAGCAGCACCTCAAGCCCATGGTCAAGGTCAGTTCCCAGCTCCGACTCTCTGACATTACAAAAATGAATTTTCTGGGCTCAGGGTGGGAGGTCCGAGGGGGTGGGAAGACAAGACTGAGACGAGGCTTCTCCAGTTTTCTGATGCAGTCAAAGCATTAAAACACCACGAGCCATGTTACCTGCAGCTGCCCAGGTGCATTGAAGCTTCAGGACTTGGTGCAATGCTCAAGAGAACAGGAGCTGGTCCCCAGCCCAGCCACGCAAGCACAGGGTGACAGTGGGTGTTGCTGACAACTTCTTGGTGTTCTTAATGTGGACCTAATGATAGATTGCTACCCCAGGAGAACAATAGAAATAAATCAGAATGGAGCCCAGGCCATCTCAAAATCACTGAGCATCCAAACCAAGACATTCTTTCCTTTGCAGAGCATGGAGGAGAATGGTAAAGCCTTGTCCAGACTGCTCGTGGAGGTGATAGGAGATCTCCAGCAGTGCCAGAAAATCTGGAATAAATTCTTCATCAAGTAGGTTTTGGAGTTGATCTCTCCACATCCACCTTCCCTGTGGCCAAGACCAACAAGGCACTTTGATGCCCCATTCCTTGGCTCTTGGGCTCCACAACAGCACCTGTGGTCCCATCTCTGCCTCTTAGAGCTGCGCTGTCCTCACCCTTATGATGAGGACATGGACCAGGAGGGTTTGCTGGGCTGGGTTAGCTGGGCTGGGGCTGGCAGGCTCCCAACTCCCTGTTTCTTTCTTGCAGCACCCTGAAGTTGAATCTCTTCTCCATCGCCTACCTGGAGCTGGAGAGCCTGGTGAGCAAGCCTGGGCTGCTCTGCACTCGTGGGACTAAGGTCTAAAGCCAGGCTGAGATTTTCGGCCACCCTTCAGGTGTCAACTGGTTGTTGCAAACCTGGAAAGGGACCAAGCCAGGGAAGCTTTCTGTCTTTCCCTCATGCCCATAAAATGATTGTCATCTGTTTACTTGACCCAATGCATCTCCTGAAATGCCACCCAAAAGGAAAGGAGTCCCCTGAGCTGACCCTCACCCCATGGCTGCACAGACCCCCCAGCAGACAAAGCCTTCCAGACGGACCCCCGCTAACAGCTGTCCCCCTCCCTTGGTCACTGCCAGGTCGCAGAGCACGTCCAGGAGCAGCTGCGCGAGGTCGACAGCGGCATGTCCAAGCCCACAGCCGAGAGCCTTTTCCAGCTCTACATGAACCTGCAGGAGCTCTATCGGATGAAGGACTTCCTCCCAAAGAGGTACCGACCCACAGGGAGGGGAGATGCTGGACTGGGCAACGAGTGGTAAATTCAGAGGAACCCCAAATCCTTCCCCTTCACCTCCATCACTAATGACAGCCCAGGCAGGCAGACCAGGCTGTTGGTGTCTGGTGTTGATGTGAGCGTCACCAGAAGGGCTTCAGGCTTGTCTCTGAGTGGGGTTGATGGAGACCTCAACTTCCAGACAAGTAGAGGTGTCTCCTTAGCACGTTGCTGCCTCTTGCCTCAAGGCAGAGCTTCTCAGCTGTGAGAGCAAGGAGGGGTGGTGGCCCCATGCCATCGCTGTGCGGTTGGAGAAGCTGGTGTCTTCATCCACAGGGATGGACCTCTGGCTCTGAGCAATTTCCACCAGTGGTTCAAGGAAGCCGTGCCCCAGTGGCTGCAGAAGGCCTACACCATCGCGCTGGAGAGGGCACAGAGAGCCGTCCAGATGGACCAGGTAACCCGGGCAGGAGAACATCTCCCTCCGTCCTTTGGGGACTCTCCAGCTCCCTCCACACCTTGCTTGCTGTGCCTGTCTCACAGCACGGAGACCACGACATAGGTGCCTCTTGCAGCCCTGGAGCAGGCTGGTTCCTCTCCCAAACACATGACAAAAGACGTGCTCTCCCGGGCCAGCTGGTTCCAGCCTGGCCCCACACCGCATCCCCGTGCCCCTTCCCTGATGCTCTCTGCAGCCCGAGAGAGCTGATGAGCCTGGGTTTGGGCCACGCTGTGAGCACCCCCTTGGCTTCTGACCTTCAGGAAGAGGGGAGGGAAGACAGCTGTGGGGGTGCAGGCTCCTCGCCCCACTCTCCAGTGGGGTCCAACAGCTGGGTTGGAGTGATGGGGCACAGCCCAGTGTGGGGAGCTCGGGATGATCCATCCATCCTCATCTCCGCCACGCCCCAAAGTGACTGGGTGGTGACACTGGGATCTATGGAGCTGGTGATGGGGCAGAGTGCCCCAGAGGACAGGAGCAGCCCTCCTGCCCGGGATGGCTCCCTTCCGTCCAAGCTAAGCTGTTTTCTTTCTCTGCCCGCCCAGCTGACGCCCTTCGGGGAGCACAACAAGCACAGCACCTCCACTGTCGACCTGTCCACCTGCTACGCCCAGATCGTGAAGACCTGGCAGCAGCTCAACTGGCCGGATCCTGAGGAAGCCTTTATGATCATGGTGAAGCTCGTGGAGGTGTGTACACCGGGTCCTGCCATCAGATGTCTTCCTCACGAGCTCTTGGGACTGCTCTTGGAGACAGGTCCCAATGAATGGGGCCAGTGTCCCATGCCGATGTGGCGGGGTCCCCTGACACCATGGTAGTCCCCGTGCTGCCCTGCTGAGTCCCTTTGGCTTCTCCTCTACCCTGCAGGACATGTGCAAAATTGCCCTGATGTACTGCCGGCTCATCAAGGAGAGGGCTGAGGCTCTGTCGCTGAGAGAGCAGAGCGAGGGCGAAGCTGCCAACAGGGTGGGTATCAGGGCAGGGTCTGCGGTGCAGGGAGGGGCAAGGTTTGGCCATGGTTTCGGGGCAGAGAGGGAGATGAGCTGCTGAGCACCCAGATGACATCCCAAATCTGGCTTTCATGGGGACCAGTTGACCCCTGATAGCTTTAATCCTGGAAAATCAGGAGAGAAATGGTGTGAGCAGGGGGAGGGGGATGGGGATAATGGTGGGAATAGTGATGGGGATAGAGATAGTGATGGGGATGGAGATGGGGACAGTGGTGGGGACAGGGATGGAACCAGCGGGAGATGCACTGGGGCAGGGTGGACCACCCTGAAGCAGCCCCACCTCTCCCAGCTCTGCATTGTGGTGAACAACATCAAGCAGCTGCGGCTGCTGATCCTGAAGCTGCCGTCGCAACTGGACTGGGCCCAGCTGGAGCAGCGCACGGGGGCCGTCATCGAGCGGCAGGACAACCCA